CTGCAGAATAACCCTCGGCCAGATCGAAAGAATACACCAGGACTGGTTTGATGAAAATGACCCGGAAATCAACATACTCGTTGATGTTGAATGTACTGCTTTAACTGACTGTCAGAACAACGCTCATTCTCAGATCAAAGCTGATACCTTCCACAAGAAGAAAGCTGCAGCCCAGCGGGAACTTTGCAATCTGAAGAACGACTGGTTTAAAAATAAAGCATGTGAAACACAAAAACTTGCAGATCAACACGAAATGTGGGAATTTTTCAATTCCACTGAAATATTTTAAGGGCCAATCACTCATGGCGCAGCCCCCTCCGCTCATCCAATGGTAACTCCCTAATTCAAGACAAAAAAGGCACCCTTCAGCACTGGAAAGAGCATTACCATTGTCTGCTCAACCGAAAGATCAATGTGGATGTTCTGACTACCCAGCAAGTTTCTTAGCATCCAGAGCTAACCCACCTCAGCTATCCTCTTTCCGTGGATCTAGTAGCTAATGCCAGCAAAGAGATAAAAAATAACAAAGCCTCAGGGCCTGATAGAATCCCAACCGAGGTGTACAAAGCAAGAGGACCTCTGCTTACCAGCCATCTCCACTCTCTCCTGGAGAATATAGGGGAAAATGAGGAAATCCTCCAAGCTCTTAAAGACGCATCCATCGTCAATACCCTGTATTTATAAGAATAAGGGAGACCGGTCAGACTGTGACAACTACCACGGGATCTCGCTGCTGTGCGTAGCTGGCAAGATTGTTGCCCGAGTCCTCCTAAACAGACTTCTTCCTCAAGCGGAAAATTTCCTCCCACAATCTCAATGTGTCTTTAGACCATCACATGGCACCACTAAAATGATGTTTGCTGTCCACCAGACACAGGAAAAGTGCAGAGAACAGCATAGTGACATGTGCAATTGTGCATGGCCTTCCTTGACCTATCCAAGACCTTCGACTCAGTCAACAGGGCAGCCGTTTTGGCTGCCCACCAAAACTCCTCGCCATTGTGAGGCAACTCCAAGATGGCATGAACGGCAGTGTCCTGTACAATGGCACCCAGTCTGAGTTATTTCCCATCCAAACGGGGGTAAAACAAGGATGTGTACTGACACCAACTTTCTTTTCCAGTTTTTGGCTACCTTCCTTACTCGTGCCAGTGCGAATTTAGCCGGCAGGGTGGACATCAAGTACTGGATGAAGGGTCTTTTCATCATTAGACGACTCCAGGCAAGAACAAAGTTATCGGCAGCTTCCATTACTGAACTTCAGTATGCAGACGACCTCACACTCATCGCTCACACTGAACGTAACCTACAGGAGATCCTGAACACATACGCAGATGCGTATGCACACTTCGTCCTTGAGATGAATGTACATAAGACTCAGATTCTCTTTCAGCCTTCCCTTGGTTCAGCAACAACTACACCATCCATCCAGCTTAACGGTACTACCTTATCTAATGTTACCCACTTTTAGTATCTCGGCTCCCACCTGTCCACCACTGCGGACATCGGTGAAGAGATTCAACATCGGATCAGATGTGCATCTCAAGCCTTTGGCAAGCTCCGTACCCGTGTCTTCAGCTGTAAGGAACTGAAATTATCTACAAACTTGCACGTATATTGAGCAGTGATCCTCCCCACCCTGCTATATGGAAGCATGATATGGGTCACATACAGGAGGCACCTCAAGGTATTTGAAAACTTTCACCAAGGTAGTCTACGCTCCATCCTCCGAGTTCACTGGGAAGACAAGAGAACAAATGCCAGTATTCTCGCTGACACCAACTGTAGGAGCATCGAGGCTACCATTATCCATGAACTACCTTGGACTGGCCGTGTTACTCGCCTGTATGACAGCACACTACCAAAGAAGCTATTTTACATTCACCTAGCGAATAGTAAACGAAATGCTGGGGGGCAACTGAAAAGGTATGAGAATAGTCTTAAGACAAATCTGAAAAAGTGCCAAATCGACCACCTCACCTGGGAGACGATCACTACACACCTTAATGCTTGGAGGAGCACCACACAATAAGGTGTCAATACTTTCTAGTTAGCCCAAACTGCATACTGGGGCAAACAAGAGCCAACGCCAGAAAGACGCTGCCGCCGCCCCTTCTGCACTAGATGTAGCCCTCCACACGTGCATCATCTGTGGACGACCTTGCCGGTCCTGTATAGGCCTCTCGAGTCACCTCATAGCTCACGAACGAAGGTGACATCCTCCATAACGCATATCATTGTATCATAGCTGGATGATCGTCATACTCGATTCCGAGTGACAGCAAAGTATTAGCAGTAGGTAGTGTGTGTGTTTAGTGTCCGTGGCTAGTGTGTTTTAGTGTATTTGGTTAGTACGTGTTTAAATGGCGTACAAAAGGAGGAGGGTGAATTTAGTATTTTTTAATTAGTGTAGATATGTAATGTGTGTGTCTGGTTAGTGTGTGTGTGTGTGTGTGTGTGTGTGTGTGTATGGTTTGTGTGTGTATGGTTTGTGTGCGTGAGGTTAATGCACGTGGTTTGTGTGTGTGTAGTTAATATACAAGATAATTGTGTGTGGTTGATGTACGTGGTTAATGTGTATGTATGGTTACTCTACGTAATTAGGTTGTAGCCTATATCATTACAAATATACATCTGTGTTTAGTAAGTAGTAAGGACTTTTTGTACGTGTGTAGTTTATATATATATATATATATATATATATATATATATATATATATATATATATATATATATATATATATATATATATATATATATATATATATGCGCAAATAAATTACTGTAGGTGCGCGTGATCCATATACAGGCTGCACAGGGTATACGCTGATAACCACATCGGTAACATGAAACCATCAAGTTCCCAAGCGCTTTGATGTAATTCACATCTTCAGAGGTGAGTACAGATGAAAGCGCCTGGAACTTCGTGTTTTCTTGTTTCCCTGTGGTTATCAGCATATATATATATATATATATATATATATATATATATATATATATATATATATATATATATATATATATATATATATATATATATATATATATATATATATATATATATATATATATATATATATATATATATGTCTTTTCAAGACATCTTCAGAGCTAAGGTACTCCATTGTTTCTCTTTTTTGTGTGATTTTAAAAGATTTATATTATCCACGTTTCCATTGTGGATCTACATGAAATATATATATATATATATATATATATATATATATATATATATATATATATATATATATATATATATATATATATATATATATATATATATATATATATATATATATATATATATATATATATATATTTATTTATTTATTATTTTTTTTTTTGTCAATGATAGTCACTTTAGTAGAAATAAAATAAACAGACTTTGATAGGTAATAAATTACTTTCTTTAAATTTAACACAGTTATTTTATAATCTGAAGGAAGTGTCAAGAGATAATAATATATATATATATACAGTGACTGTAATATGTTTCTTATAAGTCAAGAACCGTGTCTCATTTTCCTCTTGCTCTCCATTACCCCACTAGGAACCAAGCGGCGGAAAGGTAGGACCCACCAACTTAGTCTTTACTTTCACTGTCCTGACGGTGTGTGACCCACTATGATGTTAAGAGAATGAGGGGTCGCTATGATGAGGTCTTCCCTCACTTGATCTCGATGTATCTTATTTTCTATCAATCTCCTTTATTTTTTCTAAGACTAATAAGTGAATTATCATGTCACACATGATCTTGATGTTGTAGATAGTTTGTACTTAGATGATAAGAACTCTCCATGGGATAACAGCCTAGCAAGTGACCCATTCCTGGTGGGTGTAGTGGAGCCTGGGAGGTGGATTACTGCTGGCCGACCATCAGCCTTGGTGTTCTGTCTCACGCCGCTGCTTCTGCTTCTTACTACCGACTGTAAAGTTGAACTATGTGTATAGTTTGCTTCTTATTGAACACGCACTCTGCATAATGCGAAAAAGCTTGATTGATTGATTGATTGTGCGGCCAAAGGCACGGCCAAGATAAACAGAGCATGAAGGCTGTTGACATCCTTCTCTATATGCCATGTTCACACTCTCTTGTTATGATATGTTAGAGCAAGTTTAAACCTCTGCCTTTCAACCTTTCTCCCCCACATTGCTCTTCTTCCACACTGTCCTCTCTCACATCATCCTTGTCCAGACTATCATGATGACCCCTCCCACTACACTTTCGACACCACCACCACTATACACACCCCATAATACGCAGCAGGAAAATAACGCCGCCTTTCACACACATACACACACACACACACACACACACACACACACACACACACACACACACACACACACACACATACACACCTCACACCATCGATATATTCCGGCAGAAGAAACTTGAAGACCTCCCTCAGGTGGCCAGTCAGCACCACGCCTCTACACTTACATTACCACAAACGGCTTAGAGGAAGGTCGCTAGCCCTTGATCGTCGCCACTTACCCACCATCTTATAAGCTGGTCATAACCAAGTGCTACCTTAGAAGTGTGTCTAACCGTTTGTAAAAACACACACAGGCGATGTTATTGTAACGCTCTAGCCAGTAATGATGTAGTTATAGTGACTGTAGTCTAATGCAGCAATATCAGTAACCCTCTATCTGTTGATGGTATACTCTTAGCATTCATTAACCAAACTAATAACTAGATTTTTATACTACCTATGTCTGTGTTAAGGACTGAGATCCATGTCAGGAAAATTTATTTTCATAAGGTGTTTCTACATGCTAGAATTGTGTTGTGCTCAACTATAGCTATATTATCTAGGGAATCATATTGCTGTGTTTATACTTTAATTTAACTTTTTTTATTGTTTAGTATCATTAATTCTGCTTGTTAATTAGCAGCAGAATTTTGAATTCCACCTTGTGATCCAAGAAGCTTCCTAGAGTTTAACACTATAATAGTAATAAACAAGATTTATCTGTGGTGTCGGGGACATCAGGCTGCGACACAGACCATTGTCAGGACGTGGGCGTGTGGGCGTGCAGCGGCGTGGAGTGGACCCACGCCATCTTCCCCAACCTACTGGGTCAGGGCCCGCGCGAGGCCGAGCCTGTCGCCTCCAAATTCTGGCACCAACTTCACACCATCGCCTGCAGTCACGAATTTCGCTTTGTAGTGTGTGGGGTGCTGGCACCACCATGCGCCCCTGGGCTGACCAAACCTCTACCGCCTTGTAGAGAGGTGTGTGACTCTGCCATGAAGCAGTGTCTCCCAATAATGGAAAAGTACTACCTGTTTTGGCCTGAAGACACGTTCACTTGTCAAGAACTGCCTTATAGTCACCAGGAGCCCTGCCTCAGGTACCACCAAGGACAGGTTGTCTTCCCACCGGGGGTCAACACTGACTGCTCCCACCAAGACTACAGCTATGAAGACTACGACTATGAGGGTTACGACCAGCTGCCTGCCCTCACTCTGTACGAGGACCACTTCATCGGAGGCTTAGAAGACGACGTAGATGCTGACCTTGGCTTCATATCTTCGAGGGAACTCGAAACATATGAATTGAATTATGAGACGTTTGACATGCCCCCCGTTACAAACATGTCATCTACACCTTCGTCTACCACACCGAGGGCAACACTAACAACAACCCCTTTCACTACCACCTCGAAAACACTAACACTCCCTTCAACTACCACATCAAGAACACTAACAACCTCCACCATGGCCACCCCATCAACCACCCTCCTCCCTGACAGCACCACCCCAAGGATCAGATTTGCACCCACTCCCACCTCCACCCTAGCCCTTCTCTCGAGGTCTTCAGTTGTCTCCACCGACTATGGCACTAGTTACCTCCATGGAGACGATATTGTCAATGGTTAGTTGAGTAAGAGCTGATTGTTTTGTTGACAAAGCTGTTAGACAGACATATTTGTTTTTAGTTCATAGGACTGGGTTATTTAGTAGTTATGAGGCGGCTAAATTTTATGTTGATTAATTCCTCCATTCGCTAATACTACTTTTAAGTTCAAATTTAATTGCAATATTAAACCAAAAGAAAACTTTGTTACAACGTTTTTTGGATTTTTATTGTTTATGTGTCATACTTAACTCGTCATGCTTCCTCTTTACTCACAGACGAGTTATATCTTCCTGGACCTAAGGGGGAGAAGGGAGCGCGAGGACCCAGGGTAAGTACTTTGACCCAGGGTAATTACTGTGTTCTAGGGTGAGTACCTTGACCCCGGGTGTTTACTGTGTTCAAGTGTGAGTACCTTGACCGAGGGTGATTACTGTGTTCTAGGGTGAGTACCTTGACCCCGGGTGAGTACTGTTTTCTAGGGTAAGTACCTTGACCCAGGGTGATTACTGTGTTCAAGGGTGAATACCTTGACCCAGGGTGATTACTGTGATCTAGGGTGAGTACCTTGACCCCGGGTGAGTACTGTTTACTAGGGTAAGTACCTTGACCCAGGGTGAGTACTGTGTTCTAGGATGAGTACCATGATCCAGGTGACTACCATAACTCAGGGTGTATACTGTTTTATAATTTGAGTACCAAAATTATATAGCTGAACCTTAGGTTATATACAGGATATGCCTTTCAATATAACTACTGTAGGCCTATAAACTGACACACAATACCCCACAACTCGAATCTTGATCACTGCTAGGAGAAGATAACATATTTTCTGAACTGCTTGCATCATTATACCTATGTATTGATTTATTCGTGAAGTGAAGGCGATAAAAATTTAATATCATATATTTGCGCGAGAAACAACATCCGTTAGAGTTTGTAGACTTGAGGTATTCTCAGCCACACAGCCACACTGTCTGTCGGCTTGGATACTGCAACCACAATGAAGGCGTAAAAATATGTATGTCTATTTATTAGCAAAACGATGAGGATAACAAAAAGTAGGAGAAAAAGACTGAAAAAAATATTAGAATATTAATTAGGGGAGAATATCTGAGCACACTGAACACACAGAAGCAAATAACTTAAAATAGGAATAATAGAAAAACGTGGTAGTCAAGCACACAAATCTATTAGTCCTTAAATATTGGAGTGAGCATTAGTAGACTACCTGTATAGGCATTTATTGTAAGGCTTTTTCGATGCACGTATTAGCTAACGCGTTAACTATTCTGTATGCAGAGATGCTGCTTTTGATTTGCGCGCATGACACATTCAGAGGGAAAACTAACACCTCGAACAGGCGTTAGCCTTATGCAGCGCCCACTCTGCCCAAATAGCAATGAGCAATCAGCGATTTCTCCCACTGAAAATACGCTTATCATGGCCGCTTATGGAGAATATTTTGATTAATATTGAAAAGTTGAGAGCATGTAAGGCAATAAAAAAATGTGATATAATTATAAAAATAAATCTATAAACGGTAGTATGTTGGATAAGACCTAAAACAACGCGTATGGAGTGAAAAAATGAAAAGAATTGCGCTTACTTGAAATCAGTTTTGGCTCCTCCCATTTTTAAGTGGGCGCTGTCCGATTTCATTAGCCTTTGGTGACTTTCGTGTAACAATATTGATAATTACTCAAATATGATTAAAACTTTAATATCATTACTCATAAGATACTATAAATAATGGTGAAAAATTTATTACAGTTCTGTAAGCGCAAAAATTAAGACATAACGAACCTGAAATTCGTCGTGTTGCGTGTGTTCTGACCTCACAGTTGTGTTCTGACCTCACTAGAGGAAAGGTCACGGCAGGCTTAGCTCCCGGGGATTAATTGTCAGTAATAGCTAGTACTACTTGCTAACAGGGCTATGCCCTTCTGAGGGCCGAGTTAGAGAGGGCCAAGGAAGAAATCTTGAAATTAAAGGAAGTGATAATGAGGATGAAGAAAGAAACAAGACAAGGAAAGCCCATGTCTTACAAAAACTCAGGCGAATGGAAGGTTGTGAGGAGAGGGACGACCAAACTGGTGGTGAAAAAACACACCAAGGATACGACAACAACAGCTAAGTGTACCTCTTTCAGCCTTTGATAGACGAATTGGACTTAAGCATATTCAGTGACAAGGAAGGTACGAAAACCTTAATTGTTGCCGATTCCCAGGTATGGTACCTGGATCGAGCTTTTTGTGCTAAAAATAAAAATAGGATGAGGGTTTGTTTGCCTTAGTGCAGGAGGCAATGATATTTGCCTGTGTAGGAGGGAGGAGCTCCTTGATAAGTTCAAGACAGCTATAGAACATATTAGGGTGAAGGGAGGGATCCCTATCATTTGTGGTGTCCTGCCTAGGAGAATTGGCAATGAATGGTTGTCAAGGGCAGTTGGTGTCAACGGCCGTCTTGACAGTTATTGCAAGTCAATATTATTCCCATTCGTTGACAACTGGGATAACTTTTGCCGCAGAAGGGACCTTTGTGCTAAGGATGGGGTACATCTGTCTAGGGCTGGGGTGACAACCTGGCTGGCTCTATCAAGAGGGCAGTTCAAAAGATGTCGAAGTCCTTAAACTGCTAGGGGAACATATGAGCAAGGGGGTGGAGAAGACTGCAGTGGGAGTGGGGAAACAAAGTGAAAGGTTACAGAGAAATAGTGCTCGGAATTATGACAAAACTAAATTAGGCAGGGAGTTAAAACCTAAACACCTCAAAGAGAGGACTCACAACACGACCAATTTAAATGTCTACTACGCAAACAGTAGGCGTATGAGAAACAAAATGGATGAAATCAGGGCGTTGGCATGTACGGAAAATTTCACCGAAACATGGATAAACTTAGACTCACGTGAGTTGCCTGTCGAATACCAAATTGCAGGTTACAAATTATTCCATACAGATAGACAGATTAGGAAAAGAGGCTGAGTAGTAATCTATGTCAGAGATAATCTGAAGTGTGAAATAAATAAGGAAATAGAAACTGAGCGGAATATAAAAACAATTTGGATAGAATTAATCGAACGTAGAGAAAAATTAATCACAGGAGTAATATTTAGACCTCCTAATCTTATAAAGTTAATGAGCAACTTATTTGGGATGAAATACGCAGGGCTTCCACACATATTAAAGGCTTTATAGTAGGCGACTTTAACTTTAGTCAAATAGATTGGATTGACCTTACGGGTAACTCAGAATCAGAGGATTTTCTTGAAACTGTTCAGGACTGTTTCCCAAGTCAACATATAACCGAACCCACCCAGGGTAATAATATACTCGATTTAGTTCTGTCAAACAGAGAAAGCCTCATTAGTAATGTCGAGGTAGGGAACGAACTTGCTAACAGCGATCACACAGAAATAAGAAATTTCAGGGCAGCTGCAAGGAAAATTCCACTAAAGTCCCAGATTTCAGAAGGACAAACTTTGATAGTTTGAAGAGGCAGCTAAGAGAAGGGGTATCACACTTGAGGGTGAATTACATGACCTCACATGAGGTGACCTCACACAATGTACCCACAAAGGGCGACTTCACCTTACCTGGATACCTGAAAGTTGAGGATGACCTGATCACGAGATCTGAGGTTGAGGAGTTCCACAAAAATTTAAATAATGAGTTACTTAATGCACAAAGGCAGATCATACCACACAGAAAACTCAGATCAAACAACAATAACCCTAAATGGATAAATAAAATAATTCAAGAATATTACTAGACAAAGGAAGGCTATAGGTAGGAGAATAAATCGTGGTGAAGTTTACCTCCTAGATTATTATAAGGTATTGGCCAATCGGGTTAAGACCGAGATAAGAAAAGCAAAGAGGAATAATGAACTGAAGGTAGCAAGGGAGGCGAAGTCAAACCCCAAGGGATTCAATCAAATGTATCAAAATTAAACAAGAGAAGAGATTGGACCAATACAGTCAGATACCGGAGAGCTAACTGATAACGACTGAGAAATGAGCAATTATCTGAATGAATATTTTTCAACAGTTTTCGCCACCGAAAATTTAAACATGATACCCGAGGCACCGACTATATACAGAGTTAGTGAAGAAAATAAATTAAGCGAGATAGTAGGGACTAATAACGATGTTAGTAAGCAAATAGACATACTGAAGCCAAATAAATCACCAGGTCCCGATGAGATATTTGCCAGAGTATTAAAGGAATGTAAGGTATGGCTTAGTATGCCCTTAGGAAAGTTGTTTAACAAGTCCTTAAAAACGGTTGTAGAACCAGAATCCTGGAGGATAGCGAATGTAATACCGATTTTCAAGAAGGGAAGTCTTCGCGGTAGTAGATAATGACGAAAATTACGATGTTATTTACTTAGACTTTAGCAAAGCATTTGACAGAGTACCGCATCAGAGGCTTCTGAGAAAAGTTAAGGCTCATGGTATCGAGGGGAAAGTTTTAAATTGGATAAAATCATGGCTCACCGATAGAACGCAGAGGGTCAGCGTGATGGTGTTAAATCTGAGTGGGGCTATGTAACCAGTGGAGTTCCCCAGGGGTCAGTACTAGGCCCACTCTTGTTCAAAATCTACATAAGCGATCTAGATACTGGGATCAGCAGTGACATAAGCAAGTTTGCGGAGGACACCAAAATAGGGCAGCAAATTAATTCAGAACAGGATGCAAATGCACTAGAGGAGGATTTAAATAAACTGCAGGGGTGGTCTGAAAAATGGTAAATGAAATTCAACACCAGCAAGTGCAGCGTACTTAATATTGGAAGAACAAATACTGGCAATGTATGCAGCCTTAGCAACATCAATCTAGAGAAGTCGACTTGTGAAAGAGACTTAGGGGTACTTGTAAGCCCGGACCTACGGCCTAGAAAACAGTGCGTTAATGTTCGAAATAAGGCAAACAGAGTATTGGGTTTTATATCTAGAAGTGTAAGTAATAAGAGTGCAGAGGTCTTGTTGCAACTATATCTTGCGCTAGTCAGGCCGCACCTCGAATATGCGGTTCAGTTCTGGTGCCCTTATTATAGAATGGATATCAATTCACTGGAGTCGGTGCAGCGAAGAATGGCGAAAATGATTCCGGGACTTAGAAACCTACCATATCAAGATAGGTTAAAGAATCTAAACTTGCATTCCCTAGAAAGACGAAGAGTGCGGGAAGATATGATAGAAGTATTTAAGTGGGTGAAAGGAATCAATAAAGGGGATATAGATAAAGTTCTTATAATATCCGAGCAGGATAGGACTCGTCGCAATGGATTTAAGTTGGATAAGTTTAGGTTTAGGAGGAAGATAGGAA